GAAGTTTGGTTCTCTCAAGAGGTCTAGTATTTTTGCTTGTTTGGTTTCAATCCAAAGAATGGGAATTCTATCTTGGCTCATAGTGTCAAGTATTGGCTTCTTATTGGTTAGGTTGTTCTTATCCCTAGCTTTTACCTTATGCTTTAGGATAGCCTCTTCTTCTCCTCCCATCTTCTTTAATTTCAAAAATCTTCTCCCTCCTTTTGAAAACTCTTCTTGTTTTAAACTTAAACCACTTTCACAATAAACTTGGACTTAGGTCCATGCAATTTCAAACATTTTCATAAATAAACTTCAATAAACTTAATAATACTTTGACATTTTTGTGAGAAGACTAAAGGTCAATCAATCTCATTTCAAACCATTTTGCCACTTTGGCTTTTATCTTTAAACTTTTCTCAAAAGATTGAACTCTTGTCAATCCTTGTAGTGATGCAAACAACTATACTTCTATAATATATAGTGAAGAGAGATATTTTCCACTTCGGTGTTGAGTGAGGCATTGTTGATTTTAAAATCAAAGCCATATCCTCCACGTTGATATGATGCAAATTCTCCTTTCTCATGATTGTGGGTAGTAGTTATGTTTTCCACACGGACAATGACGATGATGTTGTATCTCATAAAATTAACCAACACATTTGTGTTTTAAAATTTTTAAAAGAGGAACTACGTGTACCCTGATCCCCTATTGCACGAAAAGGTGGCATGTAGGAACTAAAGGTTCGCAACCGCGGCGGGTGCAAAAATAATAAATATATTTCTTTTCTAACCTCCACCATCTATTTTATACAACATTTTTTTCATAGCCAAGATATACAGATTTTACAAAGAGGTTCATGCAGAGTACCGTAGATGTTTAGGGTGCTAATACCTTCCCTTTGCATAACCAACCCCCTTACCTTGAATCTTTCCCCCTCTTTTTAGGTTATTCACTCTTTTCCCATTCATTTGGAAACAATAAAGCACGGTGGCGATTTTTATTTTGATTTATAAAAGTCTAGTTAATCCAATGACATAGTCTTAAACATTTCTATGGCTACAATAACATCAAGGATCAAAAGGTTACAGGGTTGTCTCACTGCTTTTCCTACATCTTCAAGTGAGATCCTATTCATACACATGGAAAGACTAATATCATAAATATCATCCAAGGTCCATCCAATTCCTTTCTTATGCTTCTTCAAAACCTGCAAAATTTTACTTTCTTGATCAAAATAAAGTTTAGAAGAAATTATAACCGGAAGTTTTTCATTCATCTCTAAATAAGCATATTTATGATTTTCAGGAATTGGTTTCAGCTCTCTGGAAGGTGTTTCTTCGATGGATGGTTTGTTTTAGGAAGCCGGAGTGTCGAGAGCTTCATCCACATGAACAAATTCATTTGCAACCTCAAATGCAGTAAGAATATCAACTTGCAAGGCGGTCTCAATTTTAGCACAAACATAGCAAATTTTACTATCAGTACAAACATCATAAGAGTAAACATCATCAAAATTAGATAATGATGGAAAATAAACTGCAAATAAACCAGTACAAGTATCATCAATAGTCTCAGAAAGCAACTCTATTAGAAAAATAGAATTCTCTTCTAAGGGTTGTTGGTTAGATCCTTGAGCTTGTTGCATGGCATTCATCGAAGAGGCAAGCTGTTCAATCTGAGTTTGCAAAGTTTGGAGAGTATAATCTATTTGTTGTTGAAACTGGAGATTATTTGCAGCAAATTGCTTGACAATGTCCTCTAGTGAAGGCCCAGAAGGTGAAGAGCACACAACCTGAAATTCCTTCATATACTTATGTGGATCCTCACCTACAAAACCATTAAACTTTGATAACAAGTGTATTAAATCAGATTTGAATTTAAAAGGTGCATCAGCTGTAGGATAGTCAATATTTAAACAATTATAGTTCACATCAGGGACAACCAACTGCCTCAAAGTTCTTTGTTCATCCATGTTATCAATAAATACATAAATATCAACTATGTCCCAAATAGGCAGAAACCAATGGAAAGAAAGAAAATGATTAAAATAAATTCAAAAAATACAAAAATACCAAATTTAATCTAATGAAGCAAAATAAGAATTTTGAGAATTTTTTTGGATTTTTTTTGAAACTGTGAAAATAGAAATTGAATCAAATAAAATAGAAAAAAGAGGAATTTGCGATTTTGAGGATCAGAATCTTTTATAATTTTATTCTATAAGAGTATTGTTCTTCGATTCTTTTCTGAATATTTGGAAAAAATCTAGAGCAAATTGAAACAGTAGCTTTCAAACTTACCTAGTAGGCTGAAATACTTACCACTATACTGCAACCTTTATTACAACCCTGAAGATCAACAAACACAACAAAAAACAATAAAAAATGGCAAGAATACTAAACCTATGACTCTAATATCAGTTAATAACAACAAGAATCCCCGACAACGGCGCCAATTTAATCAGCTGTCGCGCACAGATAAAAAACGAGTAAATTTTAAATGTAGTTACAGTAATAACAACTCGAGTATTGTATCGCGAGGATTCTTGTATTATTATTAACTAATAGGAATCAAATTGGGGGATTTAGGTTTTAGGGTCAAAATATAAGAAAAAAATTAAAATAAGTGATTATTCAATAAGCTAAAAAATCAATCTGCTGATTCGGTTCCTACCTATTGTCGCAACTGGATTTTTAATCAGAGCCGCCACTATTAGTTTTTATCTTAGGGAAGGAAACCTAACAGAAAACCCTAATTCACAGACAGAGATTCTAGGTTTCGGACTTCTTTAGACGAAAGGAAGTTGTTAGACACCTTTCATCTGATATGGCTGACAGTCTCTTGGTGTATATGTAGAGCAACAAATGGCATTATCTTTAACAATGAAGTTGGAGATGTTGAAGATATAGTTTTAAAAATCAAGATGTTCTCTTGGTGGTGGCTCCAAGTTGATTCAAAAAGATTAAATTGTACTTTTAATTAGTGGTATAAATGTCCCGTTGATCACCTTTAATTAGTATGGTTGTGTGTATTATCATATGTTTCCTTTTGTATTCAGGTTAGAATACCATTATTACTCTTATTTGAATTCAAAGTTGCTTATAAAAAAATATTATCACAATACTATTAAAAAAATAAAAAGCCTAACAACTTTGTTACTAATATTTGTTTTCCATATCGAGAATAAAAACCAAGATGAATTCAAAAACACATATTTTATTTTAAAAAAGAATGTTAAATCTTACTTAAGACTCAAAGGAAGCAAATTAGATGAAGAAGATGGATTGCTGAAAACAAACTGTTGAGAATCAAGTGTGAGGAAGAAGTCTCACATTGATTATAAAAGGGAAGATTGAGCACTTATAAGTGAGAGAACCCACTCATCTATCACCTTAAGGTTTTAGATGGACAAGTGGTGTGTCTCTCACAAAGGTGTGTCCCAAGTAAAATACTCTCTCCTCGGAATTGCTCCTACAGTGGTATCAGAGCCTTTGGTTTCGAGATAGGGACCGACTTACTTGTATCAAGCGGTGGTACAAGTGTATGTGGAAGAGAGTCATTCCACATGAGGGGGAGCATTGTGACTCACACTTGAGGGGGAGTGTTGAGAATCAAGTGTGAGGAAGAAGTCCCACGTTGATTATAAAAGGGAAGATTAAGCACTTATAAGTGAGAGAACCCACTCATCTATCACCTTAAGGTTTTAGATGGACAAGTGGTGTGTCTCTCACAAAGGTGTGTCCCAAGTAAAATGCTCTCTCCTCGGAATTGCCCCTACACAAAGTTGCGGCGGCCTCTGGCGGCGGCGTAGATGGTGGAGCGAAGGAGTCTCGAACTAGCGGCGACGTGGTATGGATTTCTCAAAAACCGTTTGTTTTTCTGTAACTTGAGAGAGAGAGAGAGAGAGATATTACTTCTTCTGGAAAGAGAAAATAAAAGATTGTTAGGGTCTGTTTGGTTATTAGCCTAATGGCAAACTTGTTATTTTTCATTATAAATGGAGTACTTTGGTATTTTTCACTTTATGAAAAAAAGGCAACCATGTTCCGCCAATGACAGATTTACCATTAATTATTCTAGGGTTTCTTAAGTTTATTACAATGACACTAATATTTTTTCTCATTTTAAAATAAGCATTGATCTCCCTTAAAAATTACTGAAATAACATTGCGCCACCTTAAATTTGTAGTGACAATTAAAAATTGTAGGTATAGATGATATTTATCTACGAATTTTAATATATATATATATATATATATATATATATATATTGAAAGGTAGTGGATGTATTTTAAAATTAGAAATGGTGTTAGTGTCATTTTAACGAATCTCAAGAAAGAGAAGTGTAATTTTATCATTATTCTAAATATTTAGAAAACTTATCATCTAAATAACGCCATTAAATTTAAAGTTGGGAAAAGAGTGATTCACAAAGAGATTAATCAATTAAAAAGTTGATTCTCCTTTACTCATCTTTCAAAAGACACATGTGTCCTCCTCAATATTGGAGTTTAAAATTTGTATTAAAATAATTTATTTTTCTGAATCAAAACTCATATAAGAGAAAATTGTTACTGTATATTATATGTTTAGGCCTTATATCGTCAAAAATGTTATACTGTTTAGATTGTGACAGGCGCGGTCTTTGAAGTTTTGGTCATGGTTTAAATCTAGCCAAGACCAAAAATTGTGTTGTATTTTATTTTTAGGATAATTGAATAACTAGTTTAAAAAAATATATCAATTCATAGTCAGGAAATTAACCCTTTAAGGCTGCCATGCACACGAGACCAAATCTAATTTGTCGTACGACTGAGTATTAATTAACTAATCATCATTTACTGTATTAAATAAACTAGTAGAGAAATTAACCAAATTAATGTGAAAATTTCCCTATAAATACATAGATTTGTCTCACTTCAAAAATCTTATCTCATTAACAAATATTCATCATTCTTCAAAAAGTTTAATAATACATAGCAAATATATATACTATAATATTCTAGTGTAAGAAAATATGGGAAACTGTTGCAAACCAGCATCATCAATGGAATGGGGTGGAGAGGATTGGGAATCTTTGAAGGTGTTTGACGAAGCTTCTCATCTTGATCATCATCAGAATAAGGAGAATGGTGTATTGGAAAAGCTTAGAGATTCTTGTGATGCAAATGGAAAGGTGACGTTGAAGATTTCAAAGAGCGAGTTAGCTGAATTATTAGATGCGATACAACAAAATAATAATAATAATAATAACAATAATAACAACGATCATCAACAGCCTCAACATCATATAAAGAAGATGAAGAAGAAGAAGGAATTCGGTTCTGCAGAACAAATTCTTTATCGGTTAATAAAAGCTAGAGATCATGAAATTGAAAGAAATCATCACTGGAAACCGGTGCTAGAAACTATTCCTGAATGTTAATCGGTGTTAGTTAATATAAGGTTAATTAGTTGTAATTAGTAGTTGATTAGAAAATAAAATTCTTCAGTGTTGGTGCTATGGAAGGGTCGATTGAGCATTTGTTTTATGCTCAACTTTTTCATCTAATAATTAGATATATATGTAGAGGTTGGTTTGGTAATTGTGTATGATCTTTTTTCTTTTGTAAAGTTGATCTAGTTCATCCAAATAAAAAAAATTAGGGACAGTTTGAATCTCTTAGTATGCTACAAACCAATATATTTTTTAACGCCTTTAATACAAATGTATCAACTCCAACATATTAAGTGTTAATCCTATTACCAACTGAATAACAACCACCGCCAGTTATTCAACTAAAACTTAATTCACAAAACAAACAAGAACCATGAGATTTATACAGCCAGTTGTAACAGGGTCTATAGGACCAAATTGATACACCAAATATACAAGCAGCAGTAATGGGATCATATACAAACAATAGTGCAGACTTAGTGTACTTTGAGTGAATTCTAACAAGTAAAGGAGAAAAAAAAAGGAGCAACTAAAGTATCTATCGCAAAGAAAAAGAGTGGAAAAAGAAGAGCAGCTTCTAAAGAGTTGCAAGAAGAAACAAACATGGAGTAATGAATAAAGTTCCACAGTGAGTTATTATAAAATAAAATTGTTTATAAAGAGTAGTAAACACATGGCTTAGAACATGAAATATATGAGAGAGAGTGTGATGTGTTAGACTTCAATATCCCAAAAAAAGTAATTTAAAAATATTTTAATTAATTAATAAATTTCTAATAAAATTTAATTAAATAAAAATATTAATTTATTTTAGAAAAAATTAAATAATCTAATCATCAATTCCAGCTAATTAAAAATAAATTTTCAATCCTAATTATCAGATATCAAAAGTGTTGACAAAGCAAAACGAAATCATTTCTGGATTGCTTTTCGACCAAACAACTTTCACAGAGTTTGTCAGAAATGCCACAATCAACTATCCTTGTGGTTGACAACAGTTTTTCGACCAGTTTTCCAACACTTAGCATGTTGCACTTCATTTCAGATACATAGAGCACATCTTTGATAATAGTTTTCCCTCCATTATTCATTTGAAAAATTATGTTGTCGGCATCTTCGGCTTGCAACTAACTATTATCAGCAAGTTTTACCTTGTTTTCTTTTTGGGCTTGTTGAAGTCTACCAACCACTCCTTTCGACCAGTCATGTGATTCGAGCATCCTGAGTCGAGGAAATATATCTCGGAATCGACATAGTTATCTGCAACTGCAGCCATAACCACCATACCTTTAGAATCATCTGAATCTTCGCGTGCAAGGTTCACTCCTTCGTCCTTGTCTGTCGATCTCTTGTCTTTCTTGTACCAACAATTGTTGGCGAGTTTCCCCATTTTTCACAATTATAGCACTACACCCCATTTTATCTTCTTTGTCTTTTTTATAGTTTCCTCCTCCCCTTTTTGAGGATTCAGAAGCCCATCATCGACCTTATTCCTGTGTGGATTCGACCAAGACTTCTTCCCCTGAGTCTTGTCGAACATGCCTTTGAATTTGTTGGAACCACCATTCTTTTTCATGATTGAGCCTGCAAAGCTTGTATTGAATCTTGAACTCCTTTCCTTTCGACAATCCTAATCTCATGCGCTTTCAACGAACCAACCAAATCTTTCAATTTTAGGGTTTCAAATTGATTGGATTCTTGAATAACTACAATAACGTGATCAAAGTGAGAGGTCAACGTACACATTACCTTCTCAACTATCATCTTAGCAGTTAAGATTTCACCACAACCCTTCATGAGATGGACAAATTTTTGCACTTTCGACACATACTCTGCAATATTTCCGTCTTCTCCCATTGACAGCGGTTCATATTATCAATGCAAGGTCTGCAACTTGACAACCTTGACTTTCTCACCTCCTTCATAGTACTTGGAAAGAATATCTCATGCTCCTTCGCCGATTCAACATGAGAGATCCTGTCAAAGTTCATTGCATCGATCGCCATCTAAATGCAATACGCAGCCTTACAATCCTTCTTCATGGTTTCACTGTGGGCAGTTTTATGTGTAACACCCTAATTCCATCTGACAATTATTATAAAAATCAGAGTTATAAAATTCAACAACTAAATCAGGATGCTACAATTTCAACTTAAAACAACGATATTCATTACAGATACATAACACATTAACATTGGGTGAACCAACAGCAACATAAATTAATCTTTTGAAACCAACAACTTTCATAATTACGCAGCGGAATCATAATATTCAACTAAAAAGGACATAACATCTTTGTCCAACTAAAACAACTTTAAAAACAATAATGTACTTCAAAATTCAGCAACAGAAGTAAAAACAACAATAAAGCAATAATCATTCATCCCCCGAGTGTTACACATTACCTTCTCAACTATCATCTTAGCAGTTAGGGTTTCACCACAACCCTTCATGAGATGGACGAATTTTTGCACTTTCGACACATACTCTGCAATATTTTCGTCTTCTCCCATTGACAACAGTTCATATTGTCAATGCAAGGTCTGCAACTTGACAACCTTGACTTTCTCACCTCCTTCATAGTACTTGGAAAGAATATCTCATGCTCCTTCGTCGATTCAACATGAGAGATCCTGTCAAAGTTCATTGCATCGATCGCCGTCTAAATGCAATATGCAGCCTTACAATCCTGCTTCATGGTTTCACTGTGGGCTGTTTTATGTGTAACACCCCAATTCCATCCGACAATTATTATAAAAATCAGAGTTATAAAATTCAACAACTAAATCAGGATGCTATAATTTCAACTTAAAACAACGATATTCATTACAGATACATAACACATTAACATTGGGTGAACCAACAGCAACATAAATTAATCTTTTGAAACCAACAACTTTCATAATTACGCAGCGGAATCATAATATTCAACTAAAAAGGACATAACATCTTTGTCCAACTAAAACAACTTTAAAAACAATAATGTACTTCAAAATTCAGCAATAGAAGTAAAAACAACAATAAAGCAATAAACATTCATCCCCCCGAGTGTTACACATTACCTTCTCAACTATCATCTTAGCAGTTAGGGTTTCACCACAACCCTTCATGAGATGGACGAATTTTTGCACTTCCGACACATACTCTGCAATATTTTCGTCTTCTCCCATCGACAACAGTTCATATTGTCGATACAATGTCTGCAACTTCACAACCTTGACTTTCTCACCTCCTTCATAGTACTCGACAAGAATATCTAATGCCTCCTTCGCCGATTCAACATGAGAGATCCTGTCAAAGTTCATTGCATCGATCGCCGTCTAAATGCAATACACAACCTTACAATCCTTCTTCATGGTTTCATTGTGGGCAGTTTTATGTGTAACACCCCAATTCCATCCAACAATTATTATAAAAATCAGAGTTATAAAATTCAACAACTAAATCAGGATGCTACAATTTCAACTTAAAACAACGATATTCATTACAGATACATAACACATTAACATTGGATGAACCAACAGCAACATAAATTAATCTTTTGAAACAAACAACTTTCATAATTACGCAGCGGAATCATAATATTCAACTAAAAAGGACATAACATCTTTGTCCAACTAAAACAACTTTAAAAACAATAAAGTACTTCAAAATTCAGCAACGGAAGTAAAAACAACAATAAAGCAATAAACATTCATCCCATCGAGTGTTACGTAACAAAGCAATGACACCGACTCGAACTACTGAAGGTAAACCGCCTTCACTATGGGTTACCTACACGTTACCAACATAGGAGTAACATTCAAACAAAAGGAGTGAGATATCTAACAATATAATTGAACGTATGATAAACATTATATTAGAATCAGTTCATGCAAAATCATCGCTTCACTACTTATAAACCACAACAATCACGACAACATATCAACAAAATATTACGATTAATTCATCAACACAACAACTCAAGTATGCAACGTGGAATGCGACTTATTACTATACACATGCATGTGGTACCAATGGAGCAGAACTCCCAACTTAAAAATTTGCCAATAAATAGAGGCATCAACAAGGCATAAACTTTCAACTTTATATTTTTCCAATTCAGGCCAACTTAACGAGCATCAGCTCCCAACATGATATGCTATGTATGCAGACAACATGATTAACATCAACAACAACATCAACATATAACAACTTTGGCATAAGCCTACAACTTAATAATTGCCAATTATAGAGACAACACAACAAAATTCATCACCTGCAACTTCAACAATTAATAACAACAACACAACAACTTACACATGTCAATATTGTTATTAACACAGTACTGCTAAAATGCTTCTACTAAATTATTCTGCTGATAAACCTTATTAATAGTTTTATGCTAAATTAATGAAGCTATTATTTTCTTACTACTTAAATTATCTCTACTGCTACTATATTTTGGTTACTACTATTTATGTTATTTACTACTAGCTCTGCAACTAAAACCATATCAGTTACTCACTCTGTAACTTAATAGTTATCCTTGCTAAATATCTACTACTATTACTACCAAATAGCCTATGTTGTTATTCATTCTTTTCTAACCCTGCTACATACATTTCTGTAACAAAATATTAAAGTAACGAACACGCAGGACAAACACAAACAATTAGAAGGGATGGGTTTATGCCCATCAATATGTAAAACTGTGTCCCTCGGCACAAAACATGGTATCAGTCGGCATCCTTCACCACCATACGTGTGCCGCTCGACACACCGTTCATATTTCTCTCAGTTCTACAACTTGTCCAAATCTTTCCTGTGATTAATAGTTCATTCCATTCACATGATCTCAGACCAACACTACACGTATTTACAACAACATAACAACTATACCCACATCAATACATGATAATTTTAAACACTCGATTCATCGATTGAATCACTGCAACATTAGCACAATTATCACAGATACCAAACAATAATTTGTTCATACAACAATC